TAGGGGATAAAAAAAGTATCATACATTATCATACAGTGCAAGCCATTTAAAATGGCCCTTCCCAGTCAAACGGCAGCCAAATGGCAGCCCACTTCCCTGCGACTCCAAGCAAAGTCCCCTCCAGCCACTGGCCTTCTTCTTGGAATGCATTTTTAACTCTGACTCCACCCTTTCACTGAACTACAGGGTCTGACCAGGAGATGATGCTTCTCTTTAGATCTTAATCTTAAATCATGACAGAAAGAATATTTTTGTACAAAGATTGATATTTAAAAAACGAATTGTAGGGAAGCAGCCAAGGACCCATCAAGGAAAGTGGGGAAATGTTGAATGACTACTACTGTAGGAACACAGCAAGCATGTTCAGGGGGGGAACTGTATTTCAAAATTAGTGCAATTATCTGGCAGTGCAGTAAGACTTCTTGTTTTGATATACACTATATTGCCAAAAGTATTTGCTCACCCATCCAAATTATTGGAATCAGGTGTTCCAATCACTTCCATGGCCACAGGTGTATAAATTCAAGCACCTAGGCATGCAGACTGTTTTTACAAACATTTGTGAAAGAATGGGTCGCTCTCAGGAGCTCAGTGAATTCCAGCATGGAACTGTGATAGGATGCCACCTGTGCAACAAATCCAGTCGTGAAATTTCCTCGCTCCTAAATATTCCACAGTCAACTGTCAGCTGTATTATAAGAAAATGGAAGTGTTTGGGAACGACAGCAACTCAGCCACGAAGTGGTAGGCCACGTAAACTGACGGAGCGGGGTCAGCGGATGCTGACGCGCATAGTGCGAAGAGGTCGCCAACTTTCTGCAGAGTCAATCACTACAGACCTCCAAACTTCATGTGGCCTTCAGATTAGCTCAAGAACAGTGCGCAGAGAGCTTCATGGAATGGGTTTCCATGGTCGAGCAGCTGCATCCAAGCCATACATCACCAAGTGCAATGCAAAGCGTCGGATGCGGTGGTGTAAAGCACGCCGCCACTGGACTCTAGAGCAGTGGAGACGCGTTCTCTGGAGTGACGAATCGCGCTTCTCCATCTGGCAATCTGATGGACGGGTCTGGGTTTGGCGGTTGCCAGGAGAACGGTACTTGTCTGACTGCATTGTGCCAAGTGTAAAGTTTGTTGGAGGGGGGATTATGGTGTGGGGTTGTTTTTCAGGAGCTGGGCTTGGCCCCTTAGTTCCAGTGAAAGGAACTCTGAATGCTTCAGCATCCCAAGACATTTTGGACAATTCCATGCTCCCAACTTTGTGGGAACAGTTTGGAGCTGGCCCCTTCCTCTTCCAACATGACTGTGCACCAGTGCACAAAGCAAGGTCCATAAAGACATGGATGACAGAGTCTGGTGTGGATGAACTTGACTGGCCTGCACAGAGTCCTGACCTCAACCCGATAGAACACCTTTGGGATGAATTAGAGCGGAGACTGAGAGCCAGGCCTTCTCGTCCAACATCAGTGTGCGACCTCACAAATGCGCTTCTGGAAGAATGGTCAAAAATTCCCATAAACACACTCCTAAACCTTGTGGACAGCCTTCCCAGAAGAGTTGAAGCTGTTCTAGCTGCAAAGGGTGGACCGACGTCATATTGAACCCTATGGATTAGGAACGGGATGTCACTTAAGCTCATATGTGAGTCAAGGCAGGTGAGCAAATACTTTTGGCAATATAGTGTATATCATAATTTCAAGAAGTCTTACCAAGTGCAATGGGCGGTTTGCACTTTTTTCGAGAAAAATCGTCTGAAAAAGAGCTCATTAATTAAACAGCATCTGCTCTTGCTTAGTATATTAATTTCAAAACAAAATCAAAAAGACTTTACGGTTGGATCTAAGACTTGATTAGATGGACAGTTTTTGCCGTGCACATTCTTGAGTGATTGTTGGAATTGAATATGTTCTAAGGGTTTAGCTGGTTCTACTAAATGTTTTTTTTAGGATGTAGTTCAAAGATTCCTTAAAAAAGCTATTTGATGCACCTAAAATAAGAAGTTTCTATTATTGAGTCCCAACAATGAAAGGAAAAAAAACTGCTTAAAAAGGCTCGGAGGAGGCAACAAAAGTTTAGAGGGCAAAAGGATGCAGACAGAGCCCTACGCTGAATACTGAAGCCCTGACAGCCTCACAGAAGTGACTGAGGCCTCGTCTGGCTGCTCGGGATGAACCCAACGTGATGACAGGCAGATCTTCTTATGCTGTTGATGAAAGCTGGTCTCCTCCTCTCCCCTTCAGAGATGGATCAGAGGTTCATGCCTAAGCAAAGTCCTTAGCACATGCAGGGTCTCGCTCGGGATGGAGCCACGCGTGACATCACATGCATCACGCAGAAATAAAGGGGGTATAAGTAATTTAGCACATTGTGACACTTTCACGGTCTAATTAGCCCCATCGTTGCAGTAAACACGCCCCAATGGCCCTGCAGTTCTGGGTGCTCATTAAGTATGGATGGAGCTGAGGATGGCCAGCCTCTCTCATCCGTCAAGATCTGACTCGTCATGGTTGTGGTGTGGGAGGGGGGCTCAGCAGAACTGTCCAGAACCAAACAGAATCTGAATGAAAAACAAGCCCCTTTGTGTGCAGAGTTATAGCAGAATGCAAAGCTGCTTTAGGCCTACAAAGACTGAGGGGAGGCAGGTGCTCTGCTCCTCTCTGCTTCTGCCTTTGACGCGGTGATGGGGATTTTCCTCTCTCTGTTGCAGTAGCAAACGTGGCCAGCGAGCTGTGATCAAACCACGCTTTCATCCCTCCTCTCTTCCTTTTCTTCCCTCATCAGCTGGAAGGCTTCAGCAGCAGGATGCCCCAGATTAACAACCACCTCTCCACCTCCAATCCTGTGCAGAGGCTGCTCACTGTGAGGCTCTACTACCACCTTCTGGCCAAGACTGAGGAACAACCAGAACTCAGAGCTTCAAACCAGTGGAAGCATGTCCACATAAATTAAAGCATACAGAAGTGGAGCTTGATTAATCTCGGCTAATTGCCACAGACTTATGAATTTCCAGCAAGTGACACGTGAGCCCTGATCAATGGCAGAATGTGGTGCTAATTTAGTGAGTGGCCTTCTGGCAGAAAGTAGTGAATGAGGTTGAACAGCACAGCAGAGTAAAGAAGCCATTATCTAACAGGACAGGCTCAGCATTTTTCTTCCAAATAACCTCCCCTTCTATCACAGTGCAGTGTAGCCAGGGTTCAACCCACCCCAGGGGTGACCTGAGACTGTCTCTTTCTGAGCTACAGTATTACATAAGACTGTATCTCAGCTTTTAATGAAGTTAGACATTTATAGCCCCTTTACCTTTAAACTTTAACAGATTAGAACGAACTAAACTGTGTTTACTGGGATTTAAAGTAATATAGCTACATATAAAGGAGGATTGGGTAAAGGAAAAACATTTCTGTACAAACTGAAATCCGAGGAATGTGGAGTTTGTCTGAATGCAGCTCACTCCATGAAAAAGAAGCTGCGAAACAAAATCAATGGCAAATGTATGAGTTGTGTGCTTAAGAAATCTGCAAGTTGCATCTTGGAATAGTAGAAACCAATGATTGTTTTCGCTAATTGTAAAGACATTTAGTGCATGACCTTTGACCAGTGCAATATAAATCAGTTATTACATCTGGACTCAGTTATAAGAACAAAGTTCTTTTTTTCCCATTTCACCTTTATTTATACAGGTTGTCTCACTGAGATCCAAGTTTTCATGTAAGAGACCTGTTTTGATGAAAACAAAAATAAAAGATCCACCTTTAAAGTGATTTTAAACTGATAAAAACACTTCATCAGGCCACCGATAAACACACCTGCCTCATGCTGTCGACAACAAAGCATGTCATATAGAGTCCCTGACGCCGCCTCGGTTTAATCAGGTTTATTGGACACATCAACTCACTGATTGGTTTAAGCTTAGAAGGCTTTAGAAAGTTCGACCAAGCATGGGTAAGATTTCAGGTTTTTATTTTTTGATTGTTTCATGTACAATAAACATAATGCATCAAGTAAAAAAAGCAAAAAAAGATTTAAGATAACAAGTTATTTCTCAAAAAAAGCCCCGCAAGGCTTCCCTTATTGGTACCTCTGAACACAATACTGCTGACTGCTAATACTTGATTTGGACAAAGTTAAAAGTCAGATAAAGCTCTAGAAAGAACACAAACTTGCTGAAATGTAACACATACACAAACAGAATTGTTCTATATTTGTTCAAACATAAAAATAAAAAGATTCTCACCTAAAACAAAGGGCACAACGACAGACATGAGTAGAAGGATGGCACAGCGCATTACACATCAGAGGGCGGCCAAAATACCTCTTTTTAACTCCATGTCTTAGATCCTGAAGGAGGAGGTACCTTTAGCTGTTTGGCAACATTAGAAATCACAGAAAACAATGTTTTTATATACAGATTAGCCCCCCCACCTCAGCTTCTGCTTGGAGTGGGGGGGCCTCTGTGTAGTGCTTAGAAATCAAAGTTACAAAAAATCATCAAGAGATCATGTAGCACAAGTTGATTTGCACATTATGATGTGATATGTTGCTAAGGGAGGGGTTCCCAAAATGGGACTGGAACAGAAAATTCAAGTTCAGAGTGTTTCAAGTCCAAACGTTCTCCTGCTGCCAGTGAATGCAGCGTTGGGTAAGGCTTCGCTGCATTGATAGGTCAACCCTTTCTGCCCGCCTCCTCCCTCTGCGGCCTTCGGCGGAGGCGGCGTCCTGCCTCGGAAAAGGAAAGGCACTCGACTGAGCTGTTCGCCTCACGGTTAGCTCGTCTCCCCCTGCTTTTTTCTCATTAGCAGCACTTTGCGTCGCTCTCCGCTCCAGAGAAGACGACGCTTTGTGGCGGTGGAGCTTTATTTCTCACATTACAGGAAAGATACTCTCATGCAGAAAGCATCAGTAGATATCTGTTAGCGTTTAGACTGAAGAGTTGCAACACAGAACAAGACAGTGGAGATGAGTATGAAAGGGGTGGTGGTGGGGGGGTGATAGTGTTGTTCTAGTCTCCTCTACGAGTGTTTGATGGTGTATTTGCCTTTCTGCAGCTGGGAGATGTACAGCTTGGACTTGGTGCCATCCGCTCGCTTGAACCACACCTCATCGTTGTTTATCGTGGTAATGATGGCACTGCGGGATGAAAACATGCGTTACAACATGACAGAGCCACAGACAGAAGGAGACCGTTTTTGGGAGAAAAGATTTAGAGTTCCCAGAGTAGGAATGAATCTTATAATAAGACTGGTCTTACATGCTGGCATGAATTCGTACTTTTAATTTCTGCAGTGCAGTCTGGGTCTTCCAGCAGCCACGTAGGACCATATATGGACGGAAAGATAAGAGTGATCTCGGCAATCTAAATGGACACGGTGTGTTTATCTAAGGAGGAATGTCGATGAGGAAATGAAGAGCTTTCAGAACGACCACCAGAGATGTGTTTTGTTTCTGTTTATCCAAGACCTCTGAAATTCTCTCTCACATATTAATTTCCTTTGGCTGCAGTGCACGGATGTCCTGCATTAATCTCAAATGTGCCGAATGCATATTTCATCATAGGTTAGGCAGAGAGTAACATCTTGCTCATCTATGGTTTTAGATTTGTCAGCCGTTATAAAATGTTCTACAGGGACATATTAAGCTTCAGTTACTGGCTCTATGAAACCAAAAGCCCACGTTGGTTCAGTTTGATGTTACAGTTTGTGCTGCTAACTGTGGCTGTTGTTCGTCCAGCCCAGCTCCTCTAAAACACGTGGATCTTCTGCTGCTTCCTCTTAAACCCCGGCGTACGCTGTGCCATTTTCGGGGCGATTTTTTAACTACAGATGTTTTATCTACAGACCTCCACCTAATGTTTGCGAGGAAGGACGCATCAATATGACTTACTTACGCATTAATATGACTAGTAGTGGGCAGTTATCGCCATTAACGCCAGACTGTTATTGCGCAATAAAAAAAATATCACCTTTAATCTATTCTCAAAGTTGCTTTGCGAGCTCAGTCTATAGCTATGACTTAGCCTATATATATATATATACATATATGGGTCCTACACACACATATATATCTATATATGTGTGTAGGCCTACCGTTAACACATCAAACATGAGGTGCTAACATGGCTGCAGCTATAAAGCTTAAAGGACAATTTATTTTAATGAACGCCATTCAGCGTTGGTAAAGATGATGAGCTCATTCTCCAGGTGGCCACAGGTGACCTATCTTACACCCTACCTGCGAGGCGAACTATCATGAGAAAGAAGAACACATGACAATAATGCCCCGTAAAAATTTGTGAAAGATGAGAAGTTTGTCGAGCCGACGCGTTTAGCACTGAGGATTTTAAATGATGCACATTGCTCTCACTGCACGCTCAGTTCGGTGGCAAGAAAAATTACGCCATAGATTTTGATCAAAAGAACAATGAAATGCAAAGTTTGCCTGAAAACCGCTGGGATTACCCAAGGTAACATATCCAACCTTCACCTCCTACAGCACAGCCACGCTGTTGAGTTTAAAGATGTGCAAAAATTTGCAAAACATTTTTTGCAATATATTTTCTCCTGTTCAATGAGAAATTGTTGAATGTTTAAATCTGTATGGGTACAACACTTTAATATTTAATTGAAAGTAATATGTAATGCGATATGTTCAAATAACAAATTATAAATAGATCATTTGCATTTCCTGCACATGCCTTTATTTCTGATATAGGAGCTGGAGCATTTATCGTTATCGAGGTAAAACCTGGTATTAATTTGAGGTCATATCACCCTGGCCCCGACAGTGATTGCTGCTAGAAGTTATAGAACAACACATTCTATTTCTAATAAACATCTCCAAAATGTAAATTACGTAAAAACTTTCATTTTTTAATGTACTTGTCAAATTCTATCTTTAGAGTCTTAAAGAAGCAGTAAGAATTTGATTCCTCTTATTACAAATAATCACTAATTATGACAGAAATCTATGTCCCTCTTATAGATTAATAAAAAATGATACTTAAAATAGAACTCCATATTTTGCTGAATTATAAAATAGATTGGGTAATTCGTTAAAGAATTTAGATCGGTGCCTCTCAGCTATTTAAGGTTGTCTCCTTCTTTAATATTAATCATTGCTTTCTGATTACTGATAATGACAAAGCTCCTTCTGTCTGTTTCCAGTGAGATTAGCTTATCTTCATTCAGCTGCTCCACCTGCGCTGCTGTAGAAGACTCAGAAATGCTGGACTGAAAAAGCTTTAGATCAAAAGATCAAAGATGGGGACCAATGGCTGTTTTCTCTTCATCGCTGATAGGATGAGTCTCACCTTTTCTAGAGGAGCTACACCTGAGCCAGATGGAGGCACTGCAGATGTGATTGATTAAGTTAAGGTGGGTTTTTAGTCCAATGAGCCACAAACTTTCCTCCCATCATACCTGGTTGGAAACTCGTCCTTCCTGTTGATGCAGATGGTCTGACCTCGGCAGTACCACTGGTTGTCGTAGAAAAGTCGACCTTCCTCGGAGCGCGCCACGTGGTGATGTCTGTCTGCTTTCACCGCAGGGACTTCTCAGCAGAACAAAAAGGAAAAAAGAGCAGAGTATTGACCCGATCCTTTCAGTTTGGGTCGATGTCTGAGCTCTGCCAGGTATCGACTGTAACCGAGGAAGAGGGAAAACTCTTACCATCCACCTTCACCCGGTGCGGCGCCAAAGAAGCCATCGCCTATCAGGGGTATTGAGAGTTAATCCAACATGAAGGGTCAGACTGAAAACCAACGATGGGAAAAGTTATCTGATTTTAAACCCTTACCTTTCTTATGGCGGTCCAGTCTTCAAGAATATCCAGGTCTTGCAGCATGTAAACAATATAAGGTCGTAGAAAAGGTGAAGCTAAGGAAAGTATCGCTCCGTCTTCAAATGAGAATAACTGATGGAGCGCATGGAGTGAAAGGATATCAGACACGACGACGGGTTTCTTCTTCTTCACAGGACAGAACGGATCTTTTTTCTTGTTCTTCCGAGCCTGCAGTCCATCGTTCCACAACTCTGGAGGACAAAGAGGGCAGAGATAAGAAACTAGCTGAGAGTCGTCTTTCTTCTTTAGATTTTATTTAAGGTTAACCAGTTTTAGGGTAATAAAAGCGCTCATGTTCAGGTTATTTTAAGAAAGAAATACTTTTTCTACACAGCTGCTCAGAACAGAGGCAGTTTCTACTGACTTCAGATCTTTAACATTTTACAGAATCACTGCAAACCAGATCATGTTAGCCGCAGGGACTAGGACTGAAATAATTAATCAGATTAATCCTGATTAATTGATTATTGATTTAATTGTCAACTCCTTTAGTATTGGATTAATCTTTAACTGGAATATAGAGACTGTAAAACATGTCTTTAGTCGACTTTGTCTTTAGCAAGCGACCTTGAGCAGCAGTTATACCAAAACTGTAAAAAAAAATAAAAAATATGTTAACATTTTCCATTTAAGATCTGTCTATATGCTCTATTCAGAACTCCTCAAGTGGAAAAGTTTTAATTTCACCTGGTTTAATTTAACCAAAGTCTTCATTTAGGAACATTTTTCTATCCGATAATTAATCGAAAAAGCAATCAACAGATTAATCGATTTGCACAATAACTGTTAGTTGCAGGCCTAGCAGGGACCCAAACATTTACAGACCAAGGCCAGAAAAAGACCTTTCCAGTTCAAGATCAACTTAAATCAAGCAGCTTTCAGTTGACTATTAGGTTGATCTGTAAAATTTAAAAAGCCTTGAAATTAATTTATTCTTTTATTTCAGCATTATAACCTCAGGCTCCTGAAAAATTCTACCATTAAATCTGAGTTTAATTTTCTATCTATAAAAACAAAAACAAAAAAACAACAAAAACAAATGAGAAATTGTTGTTGTTTTTTAGATAATCATCAGTGGAACAATTATATTATAGTTGGTCTGAGTTTCTAAGGAACCTCTAACAGGTATTTTATGGCTCTCTCCTTTCCTGGGGTATAAACAGAATGTGACACAGGGGGGCGTTTCTTTACATTACTGACCACCAGGATGGACAAATAGCCATTTTTATATTGTTCAGTGAGAAGATTAAAGCTTATTTAGTCCCACTGACTGCTTATAAAGGCTGCAGACTAGAGCCACATCAACACACATTCATCCACACAACGGCAACCAAAGGTCTACAATCAATCATTGCTCAGGGGTTTCAACATGTTGCAGATGGTGCAGTTGAAACTGAATTTGAAACAAAGGTTTAAATCCACTTAGAAATTGTTCACCAGACAACCCTACCCAGGGTTTGCTCCGGCTATTACCTGAGGTAATGTCAATACTATGCCGGTCCTCCTCTAATCTCCGAATCTTCTCCTCCAGCTCACTTTGCACAGTGTCAAAAAGCAGCAACTTCTCACTCTGTAAGACACACAGGGCAGGATTTTATAAATTTTCCCCCAAAAGAACACCATCCAGGCCTGATCCTACCAGGCTATTGACATGTTCTGTTATTTTCCACTTGTTTTCAGTGGGCTTTTTTTTGTCCTCTCACCTCCCAGTGCTGGCAAGCAGCTTGGATTTCACAATCATGTTTGTTCCTCACCGACTCCAGGCACAAATCTTTATAGATCCCTGTTGAGATACAGCGAGAATCTAGTAAGACTGTTTAAGGTATACTTCTGAAGGGAAAACTCCCTTCAACTCACCAGCTACTTTAGTTCTAATCTGCATGTTCTCTTGCAGGTTGGCCAGTGGTTCCAGGTACTCCTGGGCACAGCCAGCCATCACCTCCTGCAGCTTTATCTCCACCTGGCTCAGACGCTCCTTATAAAGCCTGAGAAGCAGAAAACAAGCCGATTTAAAAGTCCAGCCTCCTTGAAATGTCCTCATACCACATGCTTTGTTATTTCACAATCACAAACTCTAGTGTCAGTGCTTGTCAGCCTGGTGCATAACTGGAGGTGAAAGGTGACACAATGTGACTGCAATACACAGGAATTAGCTGGGCTTTTTAGACTTAGGTTTGCAGGTTTTTTATAGGTTTTTATGACAGCATAAATTGAAACAATTAAAAATGGACCTTTATTCATCTCCTCTGCCCCAGCCATCACTTTATTATTTCTTTATAGCAACTTTGCTATTGTAGCCCACTCCAATTTCTTTGGTTCTTATGCCTATATTGGAATATTGGCAGGTTTAGCTTTACAGTGTAGCTGTTTGGGAATCCAGAACCTCCCTATGGCCGTTCCACCCCTGACATCAATGGTTCTGCTCTCTGTCTGCTGATGGGAGCACATGTGACTGAGCCCAAGTCTCTGTTGGAGACAGTATGAAGCTCAGAAACATGCTAGCAGGGCGCCCCACTTGGTTAATGATAGGGGGAAACACTTATCCTAGATATACACACCCAAAAAAAATGACACATGGCTGTACACATTGACTCAAACTCTCCAAACAGACCGTTTTCTCCTGTTTTTAAGTAAATAAACAGTATAGTTTTCAACATAATCTCTGCTGCTGTAATGTTGACTGACAGAAAGCACAGGGTCCTTATTACAGTCATTTTCACATATCTAACGCGCTGTTGGAAACATGCTTCTCTTTCAGGTTCTCCCATCTAGAGAGAAACAAGAATTTAGGGGGGAACTTTGACTAGACCGTTCTAACTATAAACCTGCTTTGATCTAAACTCAATTATGGGATAGTAGCTCTGGCTGTGCATTTATTGTATCCTGCTGGAAGGTGAACACAGCCACCAATCTCAGGTGTTTTAAAGGTTTTCATCCAGGGCGGCACACTCTTTGACTCCAATTCATTTTCCTCTGACTGGCTAGATGGAGGCTTAGGTAATACATGCCAAACTGCCTGATTCACCAGTTAGATCATCAGACTGATCGTATTGATGCTCCTGTATCTGGATGCTGCACAGATCTGTGATGGTGCAGGAAAGGGTATGTTTTTCCATCCCTCCATAAAGGTGATGCAGTATTTGAAGAGTGTCATTTATCTTTGACCTGTTATCTTTTCTGATCCAATTTATTCAGTAAAGGTCTGCAACAAACATCTTAGAACAAAACCAAAATAGTACACAGGGGAGTCTGTTGATGATTGTCTTTTGATGCTATTTATGAGGAAACTAATGTATAAGGACATCAGACTGACTGTTTTTATCCCATCACAGTACAGGTGCTGGTCATAAAATTAGAATATCATGAAAAAGTAGATTGATTTCAGTAATTCCATTTAAAAAGTGAAACTTGTATATTATATTCATACATTACATACAAACTCATATATTTCAGATGTTTATTTTGTTTAATTTTGATGATTACAAATGACAACAAATGAAAATCTCAAATTCATCATATCAGAAAATTAGAATATTGTGAAAAGGTTCAAAATTGATGGCCCCTGGTGCCACACTCTAATCAGCTAATTAACTCAAACCACCTGCAAAAGCCTTTAAATGGTCTTTCAGTCTAGTTCTATAGGCTACACAATCATGGGGAAGACTGCTGACTTGACAGTTGTCCAAAAGACGACCATCGACACCTTGCACAAGGAGGGCAAGACACAAGAGGTCATCGCTAAAGAGGCTGGCTGTTCACAGAGCTCAGTGTCCAAGCACATTAATAGAGAGGCGAAGGGAAGGAAAAGATGTGGTCGAAAAAAGTGTACAAGCAAGAGAGATAACCGCACCCTGGAGAGGATTGTGAAACAAAAACCCCTTCAAAAATGTGGGGGAGATTTACAAAGAGTGGACTGCAGCTGGAGTGAGTGCTTCAAGAACCACCACACACAGACGTATGAAAGACATGGGTTTCTGCTGTCGCATTCCTTGTGCCAAGCCACTCTTGAACCACAGACAGCGTCAGAAGCGTCTAAAGAGAAACAGGACTGGACTGCTGGTGAGTGGTCCAAAGTCATGTTCTCTGATGAAAGTAAATTTTGCATTTCCTTTGGAAATCAAGGTCCCAGAGTCTGGAGGAAAAGAAGAGAGGCACTTCATCCACGTTGCTTGAAGTCCAGTGTAAAGTTTCCACAGTCAGTGATGGTTTGGGGTGCCATGTCATCTGCTGGTGTTGGTCCATTGTGTTTTCTGAGGTCCAGGGTCAACGCAGCCACATACCAGGAAGTTTTAGAGCACTTCATGCTTCCTGCAGCTGACCAACTTTTTGGAGATGCAGATTTCATTTTCCAACAGGACTTGGCACCTGCACACAGTGCCAAAGCTACCAGTACCTGGTTGAAGGACCATGGTATCCCTGTTCTTAATTGGCCAGCAAACTCTCCTGACCTTAACCCCATAGAAAATCTATGGGGTATTGTGAAGAAGATGCAATACACCAGACCCAACAATTCAGAAGAGCTAAAAGCCACTATTAGAGCAACCTGGGCTATCATAACACCTGAGCAGTGCCACAGACTGATCGACTCCATGCCACGCCGCATTGCTGCAGTAATACAGGCCAAAGGATGCCCAACTAAATACTGAGTGCTGTACATGCTCATACTTTTCATGTTCATACTTTTCAGTTGGCCAACATTTCTATAAATCCTTTGTTTTTATTGGTCTTCAGTAATATTCTAATTTTCTGATATGATGAATTTGAGATTTTCATTTGTTGTCATTTGTAATCATCAAAATTAAACAAAATAAACATCTGAAATATATGAGTTTGTATGTAATGTATGAATATAATATACAAGTTTCACTTTTTAAATGGAATTACTGAAATCAATCTACTTTTTCATGATATTCTAATTTTATGACCAGCACCTGTAGGTGAAGGATCTATTTATTAACATGTAATAACTTACTGCTCCTTCAAGTCCGTGAATTGTTTTTCAAGCGTTGTCATCTCATCAAGACACTCCATCCTCCTCCTCTCGCAGTCCTCATCATCCATCTCTGTAAACATAAACGCTTCACAGGTTGGACATCACCTTTATATAAATGTTTTTTTTTTTTATTAAACCCCGCCTAAACCTTATAGTATTTATCCAGCTCCTGCTTTGTTGAGCTATGTCTCCATTTGTCCAACTAATGTCAGTGAATGTTGCTGTTTAGGGCCTGGTTCTCCTACCTGAGCTGTCTCCATCTTCAGACACGGACGAGCTAACCGTGTCCTCCTCGTCTGTGCTGCTGCCGTCTTGCTCGGGAAAGTCCACCTCCATTTCTTCGTGGTTGCTTTCTTTTTTGTCCCGTGAGTGCACCGGCATGGCAGCTATCAGAACAGCCGGGGTGGACGGCGCAGCACGGCCGTATCTTCACGTTTAACCCCCCTCCAAGAAAGAGGGGAAATGCTGGTCAGACTGCTAGCCCCGGGTTAGCCAGCTCCGCTACTCCGCACTCACCAGCTGGACACACAAACATGGCCACCTTCAACCAATCACGACAGACTATTTTACAGAACAGCCAATCAGATGCTAGGATGAAAAATACGCTAGTCTGGTGGAGCAGTCGGGATTTGTAGTTTTATTCCTCTACATAGACAGCAGTTATGTGAACCTCCAATGTTTATTATAATAATAAATAACACATTAAATTGTCTTTATATTAAAGTAAAACCTGTACCAAAATAAATACAATTAAAAAGACACACAAATAAAAACTTTATGTTCTGCTACTAGCAGCTAGCTAATATGGAAATAATGGTATATATTTATATATTTTATTAATATTTACTAAGAAATCCAGTTGTCAGCATCCAAAATGACAACTCTCACAAAAACATCAAAAACATTTGCAAAATAAAGTAATATTAACATATAAACATATACTATGTTTGATTTGTCAAAGAAGTTGGAGAATGTAACTTATTATGACACCCAAGCTGTCCAGTTGTAGGTTGGAAATGGTGAAATTTGCCCTTTGACATGGTGCTATCAAAAATTATCTATGTATGATAACCAAACTGGATACTGAACTCGGTGTTGCTTGGTAAGCTCTGACTTTCCCAATGAAAAGTCCAATTTAAGTGGGAGGTGTTGTTTTTCTGACTAAAAAGTGTGAAACATGGAGAACACAGTGATAGTGGGTTACAAATTCTACTTAGGAACAGGTTACTTTTCAAACACAGGCATGAACACAAATGGGAGAAGTTTAAAGTTCAAACAAAACTTAGATAAATAGATCCATGTCATAAGGTGACCAGATTTCTGCAATCTAATCTGGGGACGTTTCCAGCTCATAGATAAAAATAGATAGATTTTATGAAAATTAAAATAGGAAACAGGGACAGTGATTTTTTTTTAATCCATTTTTACAAATTTAGACAAAAACCCAGTGTGAAATCCAGGAATGCGCTTCTTCCATTTCCTAAAATAAATAATATTAATTCATTAATAGTGTATATTAGAGATATTCAATCTTCTCTCTCTTCTTTCCTTGTGAGCAACATAACACTGTGTTCAGGGACAGAATAGTTTGCATCAATACAGAGTCTGTGGAAATGAATTTTTTATATATATATATATATATATATACAAATTGAAAACAGATTTTTTTTCTTAAAAAAAAAAAAAAATTCTAAACAATGATCACTATAAAATGAAAGTAATGTATCCTGGACAGCTGCAGTGCATTGGGTGGCCTCCAGCAGCCTGGATTAAAATCTGTGTCACTATTTAAAAAAGTTACGTTAGATTTTTATATTCAGATTAAATTACAACCCTTAAAACACATCTATAAATCTGGATCATTCTCATGAGCGGCTTGAAGCAGCCACACCAAAAATAAATGTTGTGTCATTACACGTGTAGATGAATGAAAAATAACCTCAAGGCCTGCATGAAAATAATCTGTCCTTTAATAAAGTTATAGTGAAACCTAATAGGAATATAATTTTTACAATCATAAAGCTATTTTCTATTCATGTGTACATAGATACGGCTGATCTTTTTGTTTTAAATAAGCTGTTATTATTTTAATAGGATGTAAATATATGATCCTAATTATCCCTGCTACAAAAATCCACAAAAAACGATAACGAACCTGATAACGAACCACATTGTCTGTTTTAAAACTGTTGAACTCTGCTCCTCATTTATACGTTAACAGCTGTTTCTGTGTACAGCATGCTTGCATGCTCTTTCTGCCATAATAACAGTTTACATGCAACATTTTCCCCTTCATTCATTAAACGGTAAAATCTGGGACATTTCTGGGGACAGCTTTAGCCGGGGACAGGTGGTCCAAAAGGGGGACTGTCCTCGGAAATTGAGGACGTCTGGTCATCCTACCATATCAACTTGTGTTCCTCAAAATTTTTTTTTACAGCATTCTATTTTTGAAGCTATGAGGTTGGAGCGGGGAATAATGTCATAGTAAAGAAGGTTCAGAATGGCTATGAAGTTTGCTGTGGTGGATTAGCTAGTAGGAACACAAATAAAATATATTGCAGTATATGCCTTTCTTCATGTTTGATGAGTTCAAATAATATGGAAACATACAGCGGGTGAAATAAGTATTGCCACCATTTTTCTGAGTAAATATATTTCTAGATGTGCAATTGACTCCATGCAGTTGAATTCATGCAATCCCAAACCATAGATGTCTGGAAATTAAGTTATGCGTAATAAACTTTTAGACTTAGACTTAGTCAACTTTTATTGTTCCATTTCGTAAAGCCCTCATGACATTTCCATTTCTTAAAGTGATCAAATGTAAACCGTGTGGGAGAAAAAACATGGTGCAAATAAACGCATTATATGGAAGTTCAGAGCATTAAAATATACATGGTGTTGCTGAGTTGCAACTCAGCAAAACAATTGCAGAGCTCAGATAAAAAAAAACCAAAAGCAGCACACTGGTTAATTAAACATATTGGTTCTTAGAATTGCAAATACTTCAACTTGGTTCTAAAAGCCTTTCCTGGTTAAGTTCAAACTTCTGAGACAAACTGATCACACCAGGAAGCACTAGGGAGAACAATTTACCTCATTAGCTAGATGTGACATATTTGATATAAAAGGTTTGAATAGCGACTGAACACAATCTATTTCCCAACTGTCTCACCAGATGTACACACATACAAAGAGATCTGAGAAAATTACCCTACAAATGAAGCTTTTTTTTTTTTCTTACACCTACTTTTTAAGCAGTTTTTCTTTCTTTCTCTGAGACCTGTTAATAATTTCACCGTCTGTGCTGGGGATTACTGACACACTTGTTTTATCTTCACAATCTTACTAAAAATGTCCTTGTTTCTCCATTTATCCACCTTGCATTATGGCATTATTATATTTTCAGATCTTTCTAAAGCTGTCTGCAAGTCCTTCTTCACCTTTTAATGACTCTCCTGTCAAATCGTACCATGGGCTCCTTGCTATGTCTGGTTTATGCTGAGATGCTCTTCTTTTCACTTCTGGATTATGAGTTAAGGCTTAGAAATTCAGCCATACACATGAGGCTTATTTCTCATTGAATTTAATAATCATCAATTTTTTTCCCACAATGCCTTGATAAGATGAACATTTTGTAGGGCACTTAATATCAAAACAAATTGATTAAAATATTTACAGAAAGGCTGTTTAAATACTGACAGATTTTTGGCTTGTTTCTTGCCTTTCTCAGCCACCTTGCAGATCCATTTCTTCATGAGTTCAATTTCCTGTCAGCACAATGTTGCTTCCCAATGTTTCTGCTCTCAACCTGTGAGAAATCTGGTTCATTTACTTCTTAGATCTTATGTTCTGACCTAATGATTTTATCCTATTACGTCTTTTAATTATTGTATTTGTATTTTTTGTGACACAATAACACTAAATGATGCATTTTTTTATGAGATATAATTGTTCCTTATGTTCCTAACAGAGCGCTTTGCTGTCAATCTACAGGTTTACTAGTGCCTCCTAGAATTTTTCTAGAAGTAGAATGGGAGGCAGATCCTTTAGTTATGAGGCTCCTCTCCTGTGGAACAAACTACCAGTTTCAATCTGTTAGGCAGTCATCCTGTCTACTTTAAAGGGTAGGCTTAAAACTTTCCTTTTTGATAAAGCTTATAGTTAGGGTGGCTCAGGTTATCCTGAGCTATCTCTATAGTTATGCTGCTATAGGCTTAGACTTCTGGAGGACCTAGGGACCCCTTTTTCATCATTCTGCATTCTTCTATCTCTATTCTCCCACTCTACAGAATTTGTTAGTTCAATCTCTAGTGTGATGCTCTCTCTGCTTTTTGAAATCATAGTAGCTTCATCTGGTCTGTTCCTGTTTGGCTGTGACGTCATCCTGGAGAGAAATATCAGCTGTGCTGCTGCCATCAACACCTTTGTTTATAGATATTTGAACTTCGCCTATTTTTTAGCATAGTCCTGTTTTTCTGACAGTGGCTAACTGTATGTGCTCTCTTTCATCCTCTGACATATGAGCTGGTTTGGCACTCATCTGCCTGGTTGTGCGTTTCCTGGATGGGGCCACCTGTGGAGCCGATTGACAGTTACCTTTTGTGTCTCTGCTTAATCTCTACTTCTGTCTCCTTGAACCCCGGTTGACCTCAGCAGATGGCCGCTCACACTGAGCCTGGTTCTGCTGGAGGTTTCTTCCTGTTAAAAGGGAGTTTTTCTCTCCACTGTCGCTTCAAGCATGCTTAGTGTGAGGGATTGCCTTTGAGTCAATGAGTCGATGCAATCAGCTAGTTTTCCCTTAGATAGAAAACTTTGAATCAATTTGACTGGATGATCTAGTTGAATTGTCTCCGTAGAGTAGAGCAATACATGGATTCAGAAAGGTTTAAATTAACAAAATTGGCAAATGTGAGGGTGCATAGGCAACAAACCCAATTTTCAGTGTAACCAGAGGAAATTAATCCTTAATATGATTTATAAAGATATTTCTTACACACTACTTACTCTTATTCAGAATAGAAAGCTCTGTTATTTTGTCTTTTTAATTGGTGTTGTAATGGAGTGTAATATATGTAAGTTCATTCTGATGGAAACTAAGGCCCCGTCCACACGAAGTCAAAACGAACACGAAACGCTGATATTTTCCAAAACGTTTGCCGTAAAGACGGAGACGTAAAATAAATGTGATCGTCCACACGAATGCATGAAAACGCTGCAAAATGTATGCCAGGCCTGTAAGTGGCGCTGTGGTGCCAAAGCAAAAATAAGCGACGAAATGTAGGGCATGCGCACTAATATTTATACATGGTTGCCCTGCGGGTCCATTTTCGTGGTTAAGTCAAATTCAGGTGCTGAACTATGTGGTCGATATTGCTCTGTTCTTCCTGGAGATATTCCAGAAGAAGAAGATTCTGTTGTAAGCCCGACAGCAGGGTGAGTAGCATTAGCAACGGCGCCATTGTTGTTGTGATGTGTCGCGCTTGCGTGTTTAGAGGCGACGCTATGACGCATGCGTGTAAAAAAAAAAATGCGGT